GTAAGAATTGTCCAGCATTTTCTTAGTAATGGATTCTAGAATTCGCTCAATAAGCGGTGCCATCGTGCATGGCATGGAGCACTGTTCTCCCAGAACAGACTTCCTACTGCCGCAGTTCCACGGGACTGCTTTCAACCCTCTCATAGTAGAGTACTAAGTAGACTCTAAATCGTTAACCACTTTTTTTTTTTTCTAAGCACACATGCCAAAACGACGATGTCAATAATGATTTTGAAGCGCGCCGTCGGCGAATGACTCCGGATAAATTTCGACCTCCAGGTGTTCTTGATAGTGCACCGAAATCGAGGCACGTGGGTGCTCGCCTTTTCCCTCACATCGAAAATGCAGCCGCCGTGCACGGGAATCGAACCCGCGACTTCGTGAGGATGTTATCGTATTACGCCTGCCTGCTACGCAACCGCGGCGTGGTTTTGTTCAGGACAGTATAAGAATTCACAAATGTCCGTACTCGGTAAATTATTGTATCGCAGCAGCTCCCCGAATGTCAAGATGCGTCCTAGGTGACCAAGTCTTCAGATTAGAGCCCAGCAGCGACAAGTGGGGCAGCGCCGGAACAAAGCTTTTTGACCAGCCTATTCTCGAAAGCCACATGACCACCGTCTATTGATTTCCAGTATGCAGTCTACACATAGAAGCTACAGCCTACGGAATGTGGGCACTTTAATGTATGGACCGTCCCCGCAACGAAGCAAGAACGTTTTTTTTTTATTTGAAACCGGCGAACTATCTAAGCTGGTAATTCATAATGCCCGAACGCTGCCCCGCCGCGGTGGTCTATAGTGGCTAAGGTACTCGGCTGCTGACACGCAGGTCGTGGGAATGAATCCCAGCTGCGGTGGCTACGTTTTCGATGGAGGAGAAAATGCTGTAGGACCGTGTGCTTAGAATTGGGTGCACGTTAAAGAACCCCAGGTGGTCGAAATTCCCGGAGCCCTCTATATACTATATACGGCGTCTCTCAATCATATTGTTGCGTGGAAAATAACAGTTGTTTTGGGACGTCAAACCCCACATCTCTCAATTTTCATGCGGTCGCGCTTGTCGATCTTCTAAGGCGTTCGTCTTGGAGACGACAATGTCTTTCGTACACCCCCCCCCCCCCCCCTCTTGTATCTCGCGGAAAGATAAAGACAGACCGAGTGACCTGCGTCCACGGAAAAGTGCGGCCTATACAGAGTGCTCTTATCATATCCGTCTCAAGGACAGGTGAAAGTGCGGTCTCGCAGGTGCCGCATTCGATAACGGAAAGGATGACGGACACCTCCCCTCCGCGAAGCTTATTCCGTCAAAGCCTGGCGACGTCCTCTTGTACACACACGAGGGAAACGCAACCGCGTTAACGGTCACGGTTGGCCGTTGGGGGAATACGATAAAAAACGCTTTGGTGCGCCCACGGTTTTATCAATGGCGCATGTATTAGAAAGACCGAGTAGGCGCTTCCCGTGTATAGCAAATCGACATGAATCGGAAACGCTGGCAGGAAAATTATAGGTCCAGCCCATTTACGTTTTCGTTTAGTGCATCTTAAGAAAAAAACTGATATGATTGAGAGAGAGAGTGTGTGTGTGTGTGTCGCTTTGCGTTGAGTGTTTCTTTACTTTGGGTGTGTACTATTTGCGGCTAAATCATGTCAGTGTGTGTGTGTGTGTGTGTGTGTGTGTGTAATTTGCATTGTGATCCACATTGTAATTTTTTGTACTCTGTTGCTTCTGTTATATTTTGTGTTTTCTTTTCTCGCCCCCCTTACTCAATGTCCCTACGGGAACCTGTAAGGTAACGAGAATAAGTGTGTGTGTGTGTGTGTGTGTGTGTGTGTGTGTGTGTGTGTGTGTGTAATTTGCATTGTGATCCACATTGTAATTTTTTGTACTCTGTTGCTTCTGTTATATTTTGTGTTTTCTTTTCTCGCCCCCCTTACTCAATGTCCCTACGGGAACCTGTAAGGTAACGAGAATAAGTGTGTGTGTGTGTGTGTGTGTGTGTGTGTGTGTGTCTGTGTGTGTGCGTTCTTTGAATTCCAATGTGAGCCACGATATGACATTTTAACACTCTCTTCAAATGTTTCGTGCACGAGGAATAATTATCCGTAATAAACCATACCTCACCAAATGGCACGACTTTCATGCAGTATCAGACTCGGTATGCTCATTTTTCATTCGCAGATTTTGAAAAAAATTCTTCCTTCTTATTTACTTCTCAATGTTGACCTCTGATCGATTTTTTTTTCACTCTAACGGCGAAATATCGTAGTGCAATGACGTCTTTGATCCACTGTCATGTTCGCCCGCATGTCCCTACTTTGTCTTCGTTATTTAGTAACCAATACAGAACCGATAATAATCTGTAAACGTTAACGAACAACGAAGACGGCCGCCCTAATTAACTGTAAATTGTGGGTTGCAACGTCCTTCAACTGCGCAGACAGTTGTGAAGAATGCCGCGAAGGGCCGAATAAATCGCGACAATATCTCTTTGACGTGCAATCGAAGCCCGACAGCCCAGTGTCTGTGCATTCGTAATGCCCGGGTGTGGGAGTCCGACCCACGAAGTCGTGCATGACCGCTGACCCCTAGCGGGGGCTGCGGCGCTATTAAAACGCGTACCAAAAGTGAAAAAGTGAATTCCTCAATTTGGGACACATACATGTCTTCTGCGCGCCGTTATTTATTCCGAGCACGCGTACCGGGGCTAATGGCACACGTGCAAGCCGGACTTCATTGGGCGTCGTTAAACTTATCACGTATACGAACCGAACGTTCCTTTTATTAACGTATGATCGCGAGCGAATGCTGGACATGCGAACGAAGTACAAACTTTGAACGCATTCCTTTCTGATACTCTCCGCAGGAATTCATTATGGCTTTTATGCCTCCTGACGTTGAGTTTTACGTCGAGTACGTATGGGTTGCGTATGAGCAACGCGAATGGCATCAGAAAGATCTACAGAAAGCGCCGTCTCCCACAGTGGTCTTCGGCGTCTCTCTCGCCATACCCCGCAATGACGGGGCAGTAAATTGGGTGGGGCGGGTGAGTGCAGAGAAGAGCTCGAAAGTCAACATTCACAATTTCACGGGCCGAATTAATTTTTTATATATGAGCAAGAAGTGTACTGCAACGAAATGCACCTTGGCTAAACTGCAAATTTCATTAGCACAATGATTTTTTTTTTTTTTTTCAGTGAGCCTCTCTCAAGGTACACTGTTCAGATTGAAACCTCACTCCTACTGGGAAAATAGAGAAGCTGCGTTTCAGTAATTTTTGTGGTATATACAGAAACCGCGTTTCAGTATGTTTTGAGTTAGCAGGTGAGCACCAGTGAAGCGTGCGTGTGTGTTTATACTGGTACAAGAAGGCCTTAAATAGGAACAAGCAATAAATTCGTGGCTGCGAACAGAAGGCGAATACGGGACATTGAAAACTCAGACAACAAAGTGGGGAGTTTTACACAGCGTAGCGCACAACAACGCCACAGATTCAAAGTATATAGGCGCACATAGTCTGATACCATGCGAAAGTCGAGACAATTTTTTTAAGGACGTTCAATTTAAATTGATCGTGCATTGTAAACAGCAACGTAAACAGGAAACCAACGAGCTCAGATGCTGAGACTGTTGGAAACAATGACATCTATTTTTGCTGCACCGTACTATAGGTGTACCCACGAGTACGCTGTTTTGTTTTACGTTGAGGCATTCTTCGAAAAGCGTTGCTGCGCGTTTTGTTGACTAGTAATGACCACTCTGAGACGATATACAGACACAGCTGCTACGAGCTGAATATAGCTTAGTGTGGTAAACTAGCAATCGACGAATTCTCTTCAAGTTCTCAAAGGGTTATCACCGAATAAATACTTGTAGTTCCTATTAAAAACATTGTATGCCGCTTTAGCGCAGATAGCTCATAATGCAGGTCAATTTTATAAAACTCCGTTATAATGAAGCTTCTTGGGCAAGCTGGTGATGTTTACTAAACACAGTTTCTCTGGGGAGACCGGTGTAAAAAAAAGCCGCTGCCGTACCCCCCACCCCACCCCCACGCGAAAGCAACGTTGACACATACGAATATAGTGTGGGAGGCTTGTTTAAGCCGATGGCCGAATAACCGGGTTACCTATATAGTCGCTCTAACTTTGACATTGTAAACGACGTTAACATCTGTCCCCACGCTGAAGCACTGCAACGCGAATAATCCTCTCGCACCAGTTAAGAGGTGAAGTATAGACTCGTGGGATAAGCCACCCCCAACCGTTAACAATTAACTTACGCGATAATTCTTCAGCCGCTGGTCCCTGTATACTGTGGAGGTTATCGCACATGCGTTGAGCACATGACAGCACACTCGGGGACGTTACAGAACTACCCACAGACGCGCTATTTGCATGACAGCTAGAGGATGTCGTCTTTTTAAACTTAACACCTTAACGTATTGTCTATTGAGCACGACTACACAACACGTTTCGGGACGTTATATAGAGCGACCCGCGGCAGATGCATAATTTGCAAGCGCTCCGTATATAGGATGCGCCGTCCCTCGGAACATGAAAGCCGTCCGTACCTCCCGTATAACCTGCGTACGTTATCGAGCGCTTAGAATGGCGCGACCGAGGTCAGCTGTGGGTCTCGACTCGTATATAGCACGCGAATTCGGTTCAATACGCGGTATCGCGTTGTAGGCCGCGCCCACCTCGCCTACGGGGTCGAAGCAAAGCGTGGGCCCCTATCCGTCGATGTGTATCCCGAAACGACCGGATTAATGCGTGGTACACAAGGGCGTGCGTAAAAAAGAGGTATACGCGCTTAAAGAGAGAACGGCTCCAACCCACACATGTTCTCTCCGTGCGGAACGTGTCGCTTCGAACGCCCGGCAGGAGAGAATGAGAGAGCAGTGTGTACGGTTCGGTTATTGATCCGAAACGTCGCGCTGGCGCGCGTAGAGCGGGAGAACAGGGCGAAATTGAGAGGGAGTGTGCGTAAACGTACCTTCAGGTGTATCGGAATCTTCTTGCTCGGAGTCTTCACCGAATCCATGGCTCGATGCTTTTCCCAACTGAATCTTCTCCTTGCTTCGCTAGCGGAGATTCGTCGCGCGTGCCGCGCGGAACTGTCAATTTCTTTTCTTCTTTTTTTTTTCTAGTCGACTCTCTCTCTCGTCGTCTCCTTCAGGGTGTAGCGTTGCGACCACGCACGAACACACAACTACACGACGGAGCTTATGAAGGTCACTGGCAGACGCGAAAACACCCGCGACGAACAATGATCGCACGGATCCTTCTTCAGCCGCTTTCGCGGCAACAGCAGGTGTCTTCGTCCGCTCCGAGCTTGGCTGGCTCCTTGCGTCTCGTCTTCACGGGGCTTTAACGTCGGCTCGGGTACGGCGCGCCGAAACCACCGGCACTTTTCGTTTTCTCCGCCTGATCAATTTCCTCGATCCTCAGTCGGAGGCGTAAGATCAGACACTGCCGGCGCAGTGGGGCTTCGGAGCGCCTGTTTTCCTTCCAGTTATTTTTTGTGTGTAGCCTTTCGCAGCCGCGCGCACGACACAGAAAGAGCAGCTCCGGAGGACGCGCTTGATTAAAAGAGATGTCGACACTTCTCACCGGCAACGAAATCGAAGAGCAGCGGGCGAAACCGCCGCGATTAAAATAAAAACTTCCTCACTGAACGCACCGAGCAACGTCGACGACGGACCAACCCGCGCGCGCTCTCGCGTCGTTGTGAGGGCGATAAGTTTTTTTATGCGTTATTCACGCGCGCCGCCGCTCCCTGTCGTCAGGCTTCTCCGCGAAGCGCGAGAGGGCACTTGCGACGCTGGCACCGCGTCGCGCCGACGCCGAGAACTAGGAGCGCGCCGCCAGCCATTTCCTTCGGTGACCTGGTTTTGAGGGTAACGCGCTTTTTTTTTTTTTCTTTCTCTTCGTCGTCTGCTCGCGGCGCCATCGTTCGATTGAGTTACAGTTGAGTGTACGCTGTTGCCCGCTTCGTTGGATTACTTAAAGGATTAAGAAAGCCGCGTTCAGCGTTATTGCTGGGATATCGCTCTACTGTCCAACGAGCATGTCTTGTCCCTCCTTTACGAGTGCGTCGTAGACCAACGAATTGAGCCCCTGCGACTTCTTTAGTCTTGATAGTCGGAGTTGCTTCTTGTTAAGTATGGTAGCAAAATTGGAAAAAAAAAAATCTGTCCATGCGGTCACGGGCACCGAACTGAAGCTATCCAGACAGCGCCAAACATATATGTTACAGCATAACTCCTACAGGCTAGGAGTTCAAGTGTTGCATTTCTCTGTCTTGTCCGAAATCTAAAACAACACCGTCATATGTTGACAATTCAGCGAGAACTTGCCTTTTGAATGACCTTAATGTCAACAACGGCTTCCCAGTGTCGTTACTAATGTAGGCCCAACATCTTAGGAATAGTGGTTAACGCTGTATTCCTTCGTTCGGTGTCACGGTGTGCTTTTGCAGAGAAGAAAAACGCTTTTCCGCGAAGCAACAACCCCAATGGTAGCGGCGCGTCGCGGCAGATAGCGGAACTAGCCGTCGAGAAGAGCTAACAAGCGCGCTGTCTGTCGTCTGCTCTTCGCAACCGAATGTGATTGCTGGCTTTGGTTATAGCACACTCGTTTAGCTAAGGGCCCCGGTTATCGTTTCGCTAGGCAACCGCGTAGCGATACAGGTTTCACAGACACCGCCTGCTGAGCCTCTTCCAATCTCATAGAGAAAATAACGAACCGACGCCCTCTGAAAGCATTCAAGCGAGCGTACCCTGTAATTACATGACCTCTTCTTTGTTACTTTTTATTCTAGCACTCTCCCTCTCGACCGTGAAGACGCTAACTTGACATGGAGAAGAGGCAAAGTTGTCGTGCAGCTGCTCCGGCGACGTAAGATCGCATCTTTTTGGCAAGCATCGCGTGCCACGCTTTTGAGAGCTTGCCAACATTAATGACAGCTGCAGAAAAGGATCCACATTACAGCCCAATAGACGATTCATCTATGTTATTTTGTAGGACACCATACTCTCTGCACTCGGCAACCGGTGTATATGACACAAATCTGCTTGTTTTACGGACAAACGATGTGGCCTTTAAAAAAGACAAGCACTTGACATTTCCGTAGTTATGAAGCTATAGCATCACTGTTATGTAGGTTCCCAGGAACAATGCATGCTTAGCATGGTAACTGACATGTGCGTTTTGTGTGTATTCTTTAATCGAAACATTTCATTGCTTTCTTTGACTCTATTTCCAACGTTCAAGCAATGACAGGGGCTAAGGTGAAAATGAGACAGTTAAGACACCGCGTTCCATCGAGGTAGTGAGTCAGGCAACAATAATAATGAAACATGTTCGCATACTTTTATAAAAAAAGTTGAGTTTATTGATTTTACAATACAACCGAGTAATGAATATTAAGCGATGAAATGTAACAACGGCCGGTAGAAACAATGCCAACATAACAATAACGCACAGTGATATTGAAAGCACTTGACGAAGCTTAACTGAAATCGGAAATTTCATCGACATCGCAACTGTATATGAGAGTACCTGCAGCAGTATTCGAGCTCGCTGGCTCTCTCTCTCTCTTTCTCTTTCTCTCTCTCTCGCACGCACGCACGCACACACACACACACACACACGCACGGACACATACACGTACACACACATACATACATACACACATACATACACACACACACGCACGCACACATACACGTACACACACATACACACACACACACACAAACACACACTACCGTAACTCCTTATTAAAGAAGAACTAACGCCTTCAAATTTTCTTTTTTCCGCCGCACTATTAAAAAAGAATTGAACGCACTCCCATCATAATTGCTAAAATCAGTTAATCAGTTGAGTCGATCGACACAATTACTGATATGTAAACATGGAATTCCGCTATAAGTGTTCATTCGTTCTTTGTTTGTTTTGGAATTCTGTATTTTGTTTTGTAATTTCACCCGTCCTGCCTGGGCTCTGTGGGCATTTAAAATGTTGTAAATAAAAAAAACAAATAAATAAATGAATAAATAAATAAAGGGTGCGGGTCACCTACAGCTTTTAAAGGTACGAACTTCTACGAGTCTCGCTATGGTTCGGGGCTTCAAGCGTCCATCTGTCCGTCCATCTGTCCGTGCGTAAACAGACGACAGTCGGACGCGGCCTGAGAATTTTTCACAGCTTGCTGATAAAACTCTCCGAAGCTTCGCCCCGCTTATCATCAACTCCGTGGATATGCTGTGAGGTAGTTACTACATACGCGCATACATACAGGTGACGACCTACCCACGCCTTGAGGTGCTTCGCCCCTAAAACGCCGTCCGCGTCTGTGCTCCTAGCCTTTCGCCGGGCCGGTTCCAATTTCCTCGCGCGACGTGCAACCGTACTTGCGGGCACAGTTTGCTCCCTTTTAAGTGTGAATACACTTTATAAGCGACCCCAAACCATCGACCGCCGTCGGCGGCGTCCGCAGTCTTCTCTCTATCTTTAAAAGAAAGAGGACTTGGCGGGCCGCAGCGCGACGCTCTACCGAATAAGCCACGGACGCGACGCTGATATCGGTGTCAGTAACGCGCCTTATACCCCCTCCCCCTTCGCTCGCTCCTCCGCTCTCCTCGCTCGCTGCAGCTGCGCGCGCACCCCTCTCTCTCTCGCGCGCCCGCCTTCTCTCTCAGTCTCCCGTCGAGAGCGGGTCATGCGATGGATGTCCCGGAGGCAACGCTACCATCTGGATATAAGGCACGTTACTGACACCGATATCAGCGTCGCCAACGGATTTCAACTTTACTCCCCCTCATAGCATCACCCCGTGCATTCGCACTTAACCATGTTCACCCTCGGGAAATGCTTGGGAGTTTTTTGCAAACATGAATTATTGGCGCGTCTGAGAACTGTTCGCAAAATTACCGAAATTCCCGCCTAACGTATCCCCCACCACATAAATCTCTCTCCAGAAGTGACCAGGCTTTGTGGCGCAGACTTTGAAACGGCCACAGTGACGACTCCTTTTCTTCTCTCCCTTTTTACGCAAGGCGAAACCTTGCCTCATTGCAACTTACGTCCTAGCACCAGAGCCGACTTCCAGCACATATTTTTTAACTGTCCAAACAAACCCAAGCCCCCGTCGCAAGGGTCGGAACACCAGGAGCGATGGGAGGCTGCTCTGCGCGGCTCGCAACCGGGTTTACAGCTCCGGACAGTGAGCTGGGCCAGAAGGGTCGCCGAAGCACAGCAGTGTCCGGCCACCTAGAGCGGCCCGAGGGCTCGTCGTCATCCTGATTCCACTTCCCCTACCACACCCCCCCCCCCTCAAATGATTACTTCGTGAATCAATAAAGTTGATTACCTACCTACCTCGCAAATGGACGATAGTGAAGTGAAACCGCCATCGGAAACGCCTGGATCCTTGGTTATGTTCCTCGCGCCATAAAAGACTCCAATCCTGGAGCTTATAAAATGTTATCAGCCAATAATATATTCATTCCTTCTCAGCCTGGAATATTCAAAATCTCAAATAACGTTAATACGCAGTGATCAAAGCAATACTGACACATTTTAATAACAATAAAATTGTTCTATAATTAGACATAGGATGAAAACAAAATAAACTAATGTGGCTGTTACGCTTTTTGAGGGTTCGTAGAGTCCAATCCGGAATATGTGTTGGAATAAGCACCACATAAGCATCATCGTTAACTAAGGCATCTATTCCATTTGCTTCACGGGACGGCTTTAAGCTCTCCCATAGTAGAGTATCCTATACTCTAAATCGTTGCCCACTTTCTTTACCCCCCCCCCCCCCCTTTACTCTCCAAGGCTTTTTCGCGCCTTTGGGACGGCTTTATGCTCTCCCATAGTAGACTACCTAGTGCTCTGAATCGTTAACTACTTTTTCTAAACACACTTTACTCTCCCATAGTAGAGTACGTTGCACTCTAAATCGTTAAACACTTTTTCTAAACACTGTGCTCTAACTGAACTTACTGCAGTTCAGGAGATGCTTACGGGATGGCTTGAGGCTCTCCATAATAGAGTACCTAGTACTCTAGATCGTTAACCACTTTTTCTTAACACACTCTACACGGCGGGTAATTCATATCAAAAGGGCCTCACTAAGTGTGATGCCCACGGGACAGCTTTAAGTTTTCCCATAGTGGAGTACGTCGTACTCTCATTCGTTACTCACATTTCTAAACAGACTGCTCTGCCTAACTGGGAGAGCCTAAGGCCCTCTAAGAGTGGAATTTGTATCGTGCACTAAAGCGTTTACAATTTATTTGCATCAAATATAAAGATGAAACCTGTCGCCAGGGACAGGACAAACAACTTTATTTGGTCCTGAGAGGCAAGGCAGCGGGCCAACTGTCGCCGGGGAACTTCTGCTTGTGCGTCTAAGCATGGGACAGCATCCAGCTTTCCTTAAAGATCCCCTCACCAGGTTTGGAAATTTTGAGCTGTAGAACGCAATGCATACATGGGGCGTTCACGATCACATCTGCCAAAACTAGCAACGCCGCGGAAATGGGTCAAATTTCGAGATGAACGCTGCTTCCCCTTTCTTTCGCGGGGTGCCCAGAGAATAAGGGCATGACGTAGACGCAGGAATTACCTTACGTAGAAGACCGTGCTGTGACGTTGGTCTACGTAGACCAAAGAGTTTCCCAAAGTTAACTAGAGGGCACTCTGGCGCTGCGAT